ACATTCCTTAACATATAATTTTAAAATATGACATGCACGACGTACATAAAAAATATTATCATTTAAAATTAATTTTAATATCAATTTCAAATAATTAATTTCTACATTATTATTGCTAGCATTATCAAAAGATATAGAAAGAATTTTATTTTGAAGACCATACTCGTTTATTGTTTGAAAATTTACATTTGAAATAACATTTTCACAATGCTTTTTAAAACTTAAAATTCTTTTTTGTAAATTCCATTCATTATCAATCCAATATGCCGTCACACACAAATATCCATCTCCTTCATTGGTTGTCCGAAATATCATTGGTAAGTGATACTTTAGAAACGAAATTAGATAAATTCAAAATTAAATTTCCTTTGTAATTGAAAAAAAATTTAAAGGCATCCGATTTAATTGAGGATTTAAATGTTTATGAACAAAGTTGGTAAATCTTTTATTTTTGTTGGACTAAAAGCCTCCAATCCAATCATATCAGTAGAAGCGAAATCAAACAATAAATCAAATACACAAGAGACAACAATTTAACGTGATTCGGTCTAACTAACCTACATCCACGAATAAAAAACAAGATACACTAGTTATAAAAAATTATAAATATACATCAAATCATTAATTTCATTCAATAATTAATACTTATAAGACACTCTTAATCTTCTCTAGTCCTATGAAGTATTATTAACCCAAACAAATACAAATCCAAACTCTTGTGCACCCTTTCAACATAACCAAACACATATCCATATGCTCTAATATATCATACCTATGTGGACCCTCTCAGTCTCCTCTAGTCCACTCATAAACAAACATATACACCCATAAGACGTAGAGCTCCAATACTCCTATTGGATGTCTATCCCACAAAACCCTATAACACTCTTATATCTTTTTCTAATACCTAACCCTGTAGAGACTTCACCTATTTATAATAATACAAATTTGCCCATTAAGAATCCCTTTTCTCTTAGAATTCTTCTCGTATAAGTCAAATTTGCCTATTAAGAATCCGTTTCCTTTTAGAATTCTTTTCTTGTAAGTCAAATTTACCTATTAAAAATCTTGTTTCTCTTAAAATTTTTTTTTTGCAAGTCTTCTTGTCCATCGAATAATATCTGACAAATCTCATATAAATCTCAAATAAATTTCTTATGGGATTTGATTCATTATTTCCAATAATCTTTCCCCATTAAAAATGGCTGAAGGGTGTATCATCGAGAGAAATTGGTCGTAAATTTTGATCTAAAGGAACACTACTACTTTCATGTTTTGATTCCATGGTTCTGTTCAAAGAAAAATTACCAGGAGTATCATGAGGTGACGTTGCCATTAGTAAGTTATATTTAAACAAATACAAAATTCAATATAAAGAAATAAACAAATAAAATTCAATGTAAAAAATAATTTAAGTAGTTATATAAGAAATTAAAGCACAAGATTTATATATAAAAAATAAAAACATAAATAAATAACTTGGATGACTAAAGGAGAAAGGATAGAAAATCTAACACTTGAATGGAGCATGGGAGACTTTAAGCTTTTAAACACTGAATGCGTGAAGATGGCTCTTGTAATTGATGTTTCTAAGTGTAGATATGGTAACATGGTGTTGGGAGAACCCTTTATACAGACAGTAAAGTTTTGCAGCCGTTGGTTTGAATTAAATGAGAGAAGTTTTTTTTAAAAAATTAGCCGTTTAAAGTTGTAAAATTTTTTTTTTTAAACGTTAGAAGATAAGGTGATTGATTTTAAACATAATAGAGTGACCCTATCCTATGATTATTAGGCTAAATTTTAAAAATTTTTAAATGCAAAAAAAAAAAAAAAGCAAAACAGAGATCCATCTATTATAATGAAACAATTGATCTCTATAAGTTTTTTTAAAAAATTAAACAATCCTTTTAAATGTGGATCCATCATTTTATTTTGTCATAACAAAATAAAGTATTTTGTTAGAAACTGGGTAGATCTTTTTAAAGAATTAATTAATCTTAGATATTTGTTAGTAAAATGTGGGTCGTGTAGTGCCTATTCATGGATTATGTTGTGTTGGGCTTGTATTGTGAGCTAACCCTTGGCCAATCATGGGCTTGTGCTGTGCCAACCCATGAGGCTTGAAATACTAAACCCAACACGACACCACTAAGAGGGCTAAGCCTAGCTCGACATGATTATGGTAGTAAAATGGATCATGCTAGCACAACTCATAATAGGTTGGGTTGTTCCACGGGCCGGCCATTCATTTTGCTACCTCTAGATAAACTTATTATTCACTTGAAAAGATTTTATTATCAGATTTATTAAATATCTTATGAAAAATCAAAATTTAATTTTTTTAATTTATTTATAGCATAATTTCATACAAAAATACTATCAAATATATCATATAAAAATCATGCAATAATATCATAATTAAAATAGGTAAAAATATGCAAAAAAATCATGCAAATAAATAAAATTCATGCAAATAATCATGCAAAAGTATCATATAGAAGCATAATAAAACATAATAATAAATCATGCAAAAATATCATAATAAATCATACAAAAGTATCATAATAAAATCATGCAACTGACTATCATAATAAAACTCATACCAAAGTTTCTTTTTTTTTTTTCTCATCATTTTTAATTCAATTACAATTAAAATAAAAATAAAAATAAAACTTACGATTTTGTTGGATCGATAACAGGTTGACTGACGGGTCACATGCAGGTTAAAGCTTGGATCTTGGGGCTGCAAAACAACGTTGTACACTTTCTCTATAAAAAAAATTAAAATTTTAAGATTTTCGTTTTCTTTTCTCTCTCTAAGCTCATATTCCTTTAACTTTTTTCTAAAACCCCAAACAAAAAATTCAACAATTCCTATAATTTGGCAAAAAAAACTCAAAATCCTATGACTTTTTCGGAATCTAGTTGTCGACAAATAAATTTAACATCCACCAAAAAATTCAAATAACTCAGAAACTGATCACTGTGAAACTTGTAAAAAAATTTTAAAAAAAATTAGAAAAAATTAAACTAAAAACAACAGAAACTAAAAAACTCAAAGATCAAAACAATTTTCAGAAGCAACAAAAAATCTCAAGAATCCAAAACCCATAATTGAAACTCAAAATTTTTGTGTGCTCTTATTACTACCTATTGTGTAGTTCCTTGCCCTAATTGCTTGATTGTTGATTGTTCTGATTGAACATTAAGGTCAAGTTTTATATATAAAATTATTGATAGGATAAGAAGATAATAATCTTATATCATGTTTGATTTATATTTAAAGAGAGAGATAAGGATTTTAAGGACTATTAATATTCTTTTGGCATAGGATTATTCAATTATCCTCAAATAGAGATGATTATTTTTTATTCATGAGATTAAATTTACATGTCTAATTATATCTTTAAAAATTACATCAATAATTTAAATTGTATAAATTTTGAGCAATGATAATTTTGACAAATAAATAAATTATCATATCATAATCTTTGTATATATTAAACACAAAATATGATGATATTATTTAATTTAATCATATTCATAATATCATATCATATCATATCATCCTATCATATCATAATCTTATTTATCAAACATAACCTAATGTCTTTGTATAAAGATTAAATCCCACTTCAATTTGAAAAACCCCAAACCCACATAACCTTAGCAAAATTTTTAAGATTTTTTTCTGAGATCTTTCCTTTATCAAACAACTTTGATGCCCAAGTATTTCCAAAATTAAATTGAATTGATTGTTTTTAGATCTTGAATCTTGGCTTTTGATTTTCATAGATTTCATCTACACAAATCTTTCCTTTTTTGAGTTTTTTTCTACTTGACACAAAAAAAAAAATAAAATAATAATACAATTTTGATCTTTTGATCTTAGGCCTATAATTCAATTTTACAATTAAAACCCAATTACAAATTTTCATCCCATTATAAAAATTCAAAATCCATTTAATATCGAAAAAATTTTCGGATAAAAAGGAATATTTACATAATTTTAATAAGATAAAAAAAGTGTAAGAATTACACTTGTATAAATGGATCCTGCTCTTTATATATATAAATAAGGATTCACTTATATTAGAATAAGTATTATATAATTTTTTGACGCTGAATGTCATGAATGTAATTTTGATTTAAGGTTAAAAAAAAATATAAGACTTATTTTAGTATAAATAGATCCTTACTCTATATATATATATATAATATAATATAATATAATATAATATAATATAAAGATGAGCAATTATATAATAATATTATTCAATTCTTTTTTTAAAATCATGGGATAAGATATATTTAATTTTATTATTTATATTTTAAGATATATTGGATTGGATTTTGAGAGTTTATCATTCATATTTAATAAAAATTATAATCTATGTATAAATTGGATTTTGAGTATTTTTTAATTGTAACTGTTTAAAGTTTGATCTTTTACGAATTTAAATCATTTCGTCTACAAAATTTGAATTCGAGTTGGTTCAATTTTAGACTAATTAAATCATTTTTTAAATTTTATAAGATATGTTATTTTTATGACACATTTTTTGAATTCGATTCAAGTTCATATTTTTTTATTCAAATTGTGTTTTTTTCAAATTCAAATAATTTTTTATTTGATTTATTTGAATTTAGATTATTTTTAATTTAAAGTTTAATTTTTAAAATATTTTTTTATCAAATCAAGTTTGGTCATATTAGAAATTTATTTTGCCACAATCTTACGCGTACTAAAATGAAAAATATTTTGCCACAACCTTAATATGAAAAATAAGAGAAACAATCATACCCTGAAATAGAATTTTTGGTTTTGCAAGTATGAATTTGCTATCTTTAAGAGCGACTACCAGCCTATCTTTCCTCGTTTTCGTGGCAGTACAACGTTGGCAAATCCATTAAACAAGAAATGCTGTTTTTTCTCTTTCTCTTTCCTTAACACAAAAATGCTGTCATTCTTAACCAACAAATTCTCTGTTTTTTTTCTCTCTCTTTATAAAAAGAAATGCCATCCTTTTACCATCCGTTCTCTGTCCCGCCGGATACTCTCCCTTTCACCGCCGGTTACTGAGTTCCCCCTCCCCAGCCATGGTCCACCAATCCTGCCGGGAGTTCTTCTCCGCTCCCCTCCATGGCCTCACCACCTCCACCACCACCAACACCACCATTGCCTCCACCTCTAATGAGACTACCATGGACCTTGCATGGCCTTTTGGTAAGCTTGAAGGTGTTGACCGTGATGATATCCGTGAAGCAGCCTACGAAATATTCTTCACAGCTTGCCGTTCATCACCAGGTTTTGGAGGTCGAAATGCTTTAACGTTTTACTCTTCACATGATCATCATGGAAATGGGGATGGAGGAACAGCGTCTGGATCACCACACGGGCCAGGGTCACCGAGCGGGCGGGCGAATTATGGGGTGGTGATGAGCCCTACGAGTAGGGTTAAAAGGGCCTTGGGGTTGAAGATGTTGAAAAGATCACCTTCCAGGAGGATGTCAACGTCGTCTGTAGGTTTTAGCAGCGGTGGTGGTGGAGGGTCCACGCCATCATCGCCTGTTTCTCATGGATTTGGTGGTTCTGCTTCTGCTTCTAGCCCTGGAGCTGGAATGGGGTTTTCTACGTTGCCGGCGTCGAGGCCTAGGCGGCCTTTAACGTCGGCGGAGATTATGAGGCAGCAAATGAGGGTGACAGAACAGAGTGACAATAGGCTTAGGAAGACTCTCATGAGAACCCTTGTTGGCCAAGTACATACATCAATATTACTATCTACTACATTGATACATGTCATTTCTCTGTGTTATATATTTCAATTAACTGCTTTAGAATCTTAAAGTTTACGAAAAATTTTAATTCATGTCTTCGTGATTTGAATTGATGTGAAAAGTAATAAGTAGGCACTAATCAATTCTTTGTTGCTAAATCCATACTGGTTTCAACAGATGGGTAGGAGATCAGAGACTATCATCCTTCCGCTTGAGCTTCTCCGGCACCTAAAACCATCCGAATTCAATGACTTGCACGAGTACCATCTTTGGCAAAAGCGTCAGCTCAAAATCCTGGAAGCAGGCCTTCTCCTCCATCCATCAATCCCTCTAGACAAATCGAATTCTTTCCTTATGCGTCTACGTGAGATAATCCGAGCCGCCGATTCCAAGCCTATAGACACTGGGAAGAACTCTGACATGATGAGAACATTGTGCAACAGTGTTGTTTCTTTATCTTGGCGAAGTACCAATGGTACTCCTACTGATGTGTGCCATTGGGCTGACGGATTCCCTCTCAACATTCACATCTACACTTCTCTCCTTCAGGCCATTTTTGATATTAGGGATGAGACATTAGTCCTTGACGAGGTTGATGAGTTGCTAGAACTGATGAAAAAGACATGGTCTACATTGGGGATCAATAGGCCAATTCACAATGCCTGTTTCACTTGGGTGCTTTTCCAGCAATATGTTGCGACTAATCAGATGGAGCCTGATCTTCTTTGTGCTGCATATACTATGTTGACAGAGGTGGCAAATGATGCTAGAAAGCCGGATAGAGAGGCAACGTATGTGAAACTATTGTCTTCCATGATAGTTTCAATGCAAAGTTGGGCAGAGAAGAGGTTGCTTCACTACCATGAATATTTCAACAGAGGAAATATTGGTGGAATCGAAAATCTTTTGCCCTTGGCATTATCTTCAACAAAGATTTTAGGTGAAGATGTTACGATCATGGAAGGGGAAGGGAGCAAGAAAGGGGACACAATGCTCGTGGATTCAACCAGTGATCGCGTAGATCATTACATTCGATCTTCTGTGAAAAATGCATTTGCAAAGGTGAGTAATATACATATAGGCAACTCTTTATTACCAAAATGCTCCTATCTTGGTATAATTTTTATTTAATTATTACTTCTTCGTTGATTGCTATAGATAATAGAAAATGAAAATGTCAAAAAAGCAAATACAGAGGAAAGAGAAGAACCTAGTATAGCTATACTTCAATTGGCTAAGGAAACTGAGGATTTGGCTGCGAGAGAGAGGGGGTTATTTAGTCCCATATTGAAGAGGTGGCATCCGATTGCAGCTGGAGTTGCGGCTGTGACGCTGCACCAATGCTATGGAGCAGTGTTAAAGCAATATTTAGCTGGTACAAGTGTGCTGAACAGTGAGATAGTTGGGGTACTACAAAGAGCTGCAAAACTAGAAAAGGTTTTGGTTCAAATGGTGGTTGAAGATTCTGAAGAGTGTGAAGATGGAGGCAAAGGAATTGTCAGAGAAATGACGCCATATGAAGTTGATTCAATTATATTGAGGCTCTTGAGACAATGGATAGATGAAAGACTAAAGAAAGGGAAAGAACTGCTTTGTAGAGCAAAAGAAACTGAAGTCAGTCAATTTCCCTTTTTTTTGTGAAGTTCATAAGTGAAAAAAGAAATAATCTATAATTGAGCTTACTAATTGGTTGCAATTTTTGTTGCAGACCTGGAACCCCAAGTCCAAATCTGAGCCATATTCACAGTCATCTGAGGAGCTAATGAAATCGGCCATGGAAACGGTGAATGATTTCTTTGAAATTCCCATTGGAATTACCGATGATTTGATTCTTGATCTAGCTGAAGGTTTAGAGCAGCTCTTCCAAGAATACATTACCTTCGTAGCATCATGTGGTGAGAATCATCTCATTGTGTTTCATACACCATTTTCAGCTTGCTCATTTCCATGGAACAATTTAAATCATCCTTGGCAGCAAATCGATTGCATTATAGGCAGGATACGTTTCTCATTTTTGGTTACATTGTTTTTAGGGTCAAAGCGGAGTTATCTCCCTACACTTCCTCCTCTAACCAGATGCAACCGAGATTCAAAGTTCTTCAAACTCTGGAGAAAGGCTAGTCCTTGCAGTGTTGGAGTAGAAGCAATGCATCAAATTACGACTACCGATGGTCACCTTCCTCGCCCATCAACAAGCCGTGGAACACAACGCCTCTACGTCCGTCTTAATACATTGCACTATTTAATCTCTCACCTCCATTCTCTTGATAAAACTCTCACCATCTCACCAAGAGTCTCAACACGGAACCGTTTCAGCGGCAGCCGCAAGCACCATGGTGCTTCATCTTCCTACTTTGAACACGCCATTGGATCCATTCAATCAGCCTGTGATCATGTATCAGAAGTTGCAGCTTACCGCTTAATTTTCCTTGACTCGAATTCTCTTTTTTATGAGAGTCTCTACGTTGGTGATGTAGCCAATACAAGAATTAGACCTGCAATCAGAATTCTGAAGCAGAATCTCACACTTCTTACTGCAATACTCACAGACCGGGCTCAAGCATTAGCAATGAAAGAAGTTATGAAAGCATCTTTTGAAGCCTTTCTTATGGTTTTGCTAGCCGGCGGACCTTCCAGGATCTTTCATCGGTCTGATCACGAGATGATTGAGGAAGATTTTGACAGCTTGAAGAGGGTATTTTGTACTTGTGGGGAAGGCTTGATATCTGAGGATGTAGTCGAGAGAGAGGCTGAGACAGTGGAAGGTGTGATATCATTGATGGGTCAATCCACTGAACAACTAACAGAAGATTTCAGCATTGTCACTTGTGAAACTAGCGGAATAGGTTTCATTGGCGCAGGGCAAAAACTACCTATGCCACCAACTACAGGAAGGTGGAATAGAGCAGATCCAAACACAATACTAAGGATCTTGTGCCATAGGAATGACCGAGCAGCGAATCAGTTCTTAAAGAAGTCATTTCAATTGGCAAAGAGGAAATGAATTGAAATAGTACATTGTATATATTGGATATTTAAAGCTAAGGTTTTGTCATCTGGGTGTATTATAGCATCGATTTTCATTGATGTAACCGTATTCAAATTTGAAGAAAATCTCAAAGGGAGCTCATTGTATCGAATTTGGTTAACTTAAAATGTTATATCAACATCTTTTCGGGGGTAGAGCGAGCAAATGTACAATATTCTTTTATTGCCTTCTAATTCTTTATAACATTAGGCATTTTACTTGTTTAAGGATCATGAGGGGTTCATCAGAGTAAAAATGAAATATTAAGGATAGCATTTTTTTTTCTTTTTCTTTTGTTACAGACATTTCAAGAAGTTAAACATTGTATTCTTTCTAGTAATTACAGCCAAACTGGGGTCAAGCAAATTCAAGAACATTGTATTGAATTAGTACCAAAACCACCACGGTTGATGATGCACCATCAATAGACCAGGCCAGGAAGAGTACTCTGTCAAAAACCTGAATGACAGCTTGTTTCAATTTTCACAAGTTGAATTTCAACTCTGACATTCCAATGGACAACAGATATTATTCAACATGTTCCATCAACCTATTCCCTTGATTCTTCTTGATTCGATGCCTTTAATCTTACCGCCTTCAGTTCTTCTGTAAGTACATGCATTGAATCTGAAACTTCAGCCTTGTAGACATAAAACTTGATTACTAACAAGAAGAAAATGAAGTTCAAGAAGTTGAGTATAGCAAAAAATGCATAATAGTAGTCAAGATGAGATTTGTTTAGGTTATTCAAGATCCATCCTTGATGACCATGCTTTCTAGTGATATGAGAAACTGTTGAAAGAAGGAAGCTGCTAAGAAAATTCCCAATTCCCAGACTCGTAGTTGAATATGAAGTACCAAGACTCTTCATGCTTTCCGGTGCCTGATCATAGAAGAACTCAATCTTAGCCACCTCTAAAAATGCATCAGCTGTGCCCATAAGCACAAATTGGGGAAGTAAAATGAATATGGTTAGCGGAAGTTGCCCTCCATTTTCAACTAAGCCATGTTCCCTGGCCACATTGAGTCTGTGCCTCTCAATTACAGAAGCAATTATCATGATTATGATGTGGATAACAAGACCAATTCCCATCCTTTGAAGGAGAGTGATGCCTCTAGGATTTTTACTCCACTTTTTCACAATTGGGACGAGGATGCGATCATAGAGGACAACACAAATAAGCATAGAAATGGTCACAAATCCAGCTAAACTTGCTGGAGGGATCTCGAAGCTACCCATGTGTCTATCAAGGGTGGTGCCTTGTTTTACAAACAAGGTACTGATTTGAGCAATCATGGTGCTTGGCACAAAAGTGGCAATCAATATTGGGATCATTCTTAACATCTGTTTAGTTTCTTCTACTTGGGTTACCGAGCATTGCATCCATGGATCCGGGGAGCCTGTTTTAACAGCAGCCTTATTAAGGAACCTGCATTTTGGCACAAAGTTGAACATATGATCAGAAGACCACAAATCAAAATAACAGAAAATTTCAGATTCCTATATGTACCTAATTCAAACAATAATTGACGCTAACCTCAGGGATGGTGTTGAATCAATCCGAAACTTTCCTTTCCTGCCATACTCTTCCGGGTCAAATTCATAAAGTTCTTTAGGGTCAGTAGGAAGAGGCACCTTCCATTTCCTTATGGCAGCTACTATGACCATAGCCATCCTTGTGAAAGGACTCCCTGCGGGCACCCTGTGCCTATAGAAGGGCGTGCCTGCCAGGAAAATCAGAACTGAAATCACCAGCCCAAGTGTGGGCAGCCCATAGCCTAATGTCCAACCAACATTGTCCTGAATATAAACAAGAACTGTGTTGGCAAAGAGTGTCCCAAAGAAGATGCTGAACATCCACCAATTGAAGAAGGATAGCTTATGAGCCTTCTCCTTGGGATGAAAATCATCGAATTGATCGGCACCGATCGTCGAAATGTTTGGCTTGGTGCCGCCGGTTCCTACAGCTAAAGTATAGAGTGCACCAAAAAATACTGCTAACTGTAATGTTGATGCCTTCTTGCAATCATCTACATTGGCTTGGTGACAGGGTGGTGGCTTTAGTCCATGTAGTGACACTGATAATGTTAGCAATGACATTCCCTGTGATCAACAATTGGGTTAAGTTCGACCATTGCAAAGACCATAATTAATCAAAAACTACATGCACCTTAAAAATCACAAATTTGATGGCCATAATTAAACACAATTCTTTACATTCTTATTGCAAAATACTAAAAGGTCAAATTGATTTTTTTTTCCATGCAAAGAATTTGGTATATGTTATTTCAATTTTTTTTATAAAAAATAGAATTACAGTTCGAAAAGATTAAATTTTACCCAAATCCTAATTTAGTCTTTACTTAAATCATAATTAATTTTTTTTATCTTTTGAACTATCCAGACCTTCAACTTAGACATCGATTCCACTATCATTGTTAATCTTGATTTCAAACCTCATTCCTTAACACATTTAGGTGACCAACCAAATTAAAAAAAAAAAATCTTAATTTTAATTTGCAACTAGGCTTATCGATTGCCTCGGGCATAGAAATTTTAATGGTCCACACTCAACAAACCTTTATGCATACATAACAATAAGCAAACACATATAAAAAGCCTAGTTGGCCTTTACTTTTATCCCTCTCCAAAGTAAGTTGATAAACCGAGTTGACTCAGATACCTACAAGAAATGCTGTTTGGAAAAGTAGACAAAAATTTCTTGACTTCTAGTCGGGACAACATTCAAGTTGTGACGTAGATATCCGTGGTCCACCTGACAAATTTGTCAAAACTTTCCAACCCACATACAACATATAAATAATCATATTCTATATTGCCTTATAATTAAAACAAAGAAAAAAATTCAGTCAAAGTTTCGCATTCTACCCATGTTTGAATGCGAATTATTTTTCGTAATTTGACTATAGTCAGTTAACGTCACGACAGCTTTATTATTATTATTATTATTATTTTTATAAAATAGGTTTTAATACGAAGATATGTAAAAAAAAAAAATTATAGATATTAAAATTTAAAATTTTAACTTATTAAATGTAATTTTTTAAAAATAATTATAAATTATTAGAGCTTCTTTTCATATATAATACATTAGTAACCAATTAATTTTTTAATTGGCTTAATCATCCTACTCTAAAATAATGCTTTTGGTTTTACTAATTTTGTAGTAATTAAAATTGTTATATTTGAGTGTTTGGTTGAATAGAAACTATATATATTCAAACCTTGGGATGTAAACTTTAAACTTAACTTTTATAATTCTTAAATTCAAAACTTGGACTGAATAAATAGATATGAATATAGGCTAGTGAAAAATTACAATCATTAAAATTCGAAATTTATGTGTTTCCAATTACTTTTATTTTTAAGATGGTAAAAAATATTTTCATATTTTGTTCGGATCTAATTTTTTTTTCTGATTATCTTAGAAGTACATTATTGCACATCTTGCGCAATAATCAAGATTTTTACTCTTACTCTACAAAAATAGGATCCTAGGTAGTTGGCCAAAAAAAATTTGTTTTTTCCCTTACCAATTGGACTAAACCGTGTGGATTGTTTTCAACTACTTCATGCATATTTATTTAACACATTTATGTATGTATGGATGCATAATGCATACGAAAAGATTTTTGTAAACATACCGAGATATAAATTAAAGACGCAATGACAAAGGTCCAATAGCGACCAAGGTGTGCATCAGCAACATAGGCACCCAAGATTGGGGTCATCCAAATGGTGCCAACCCAATTGGTAACATTGTTGGCCGACTTGACAGTGCCTTGATGAAGCTTCCTCGTCAAATACAGGACAAGATTGGAAGATATACCGTAGTAGGCCATGCGTTCAAAGACTTCATACACTGCACCAATGTTAAAAGCAAAGTTTTCTAATTAAGCTGCGGCCGGAGAATTTAGCAGCTGATGATGATCATGTGTTGATTGATATGGCTGCTTGTTTGAAGGTCCATATGCATGGGTCCATGAAATAATGGGAAAAAATATCTTTAACTTTGGAACTTGTCTCTAATAATTGAATAGGAGCATTGGTTTTAACTACTGGAGAAGAGAGATGCTGCTTTCCTGCCTAATATGGTTTATTTTACAGTATTATTTTAAAAAGTGACTTTTGAATTTGCATTATTTTTATAAGAAAGAAAAATATTAATGGGGCTGATCTCATTATCGTGTTTAAAAAATTCAAGGACATGGCAGCAGGCATGATTCTTGCACTTAGGGTCTGGAGAAGAGAGAAGAAAGCAGTACAGAAGCTGGTAAAGGACTTTAAGATGGGAAGATAGGGTCATGTAAGAAGGATTTACATCTTTGTCAAATATTGGTGGAAAAGGAAAGCTGAAACCAAACCAATAATAGCTTCAAGAGGAATGCAAATTAAGTGGAGGTTGTAGCCTGTGGGAAGCTTCTGTCTTCATTATTTGGCAGTTGAGCCAAATCAATGCTTCTTTTTCAATGTTCAAAACAAGAATACCAGAATTGCATAAAATGTGAAAAAAAAAAAAAAAAAAACAGAGTCCTAATGCTTTCTATAGTCATTCCAGGATTAGTAAGGAAAAGCGTCGTAAAAGTTAATACAGGGAAATGGTGACCAAGAGCAAAGGGATTTGGTCCCATAACAACAGTTAAGACTCAGTGTGCTCCTAGAGAGAGGTGAAGAGTGCGACGCAAAACATAAGAGAAAAACAAAAAGCAAACGACAAAAAAAGAATCAACCAATCGGAATCAATGTCAGTGAAATATATTAATTACCGACGACAAAGGAGCAAGCAGTCCATCCACCGCTCTTGGATCTACGGACTGGGTTTCCTTTGAGATCGACAGTGCCATCTTGAGTGTAATCATCTATCCCTTCTTCAACAGCCATAGTATTAAGGTCAAAACCAACCTTTTAGTGTTTTTTTTTTTTTAATGTTTTCTTTGGAACAACTTTACACTGACACCTGCAAAGAGGAGTTTGCATCTATCCACTCCTTTTATAGACAATACTGCCTCTGTTCAAGTTAATTTACCCCTTTGCCATCATTTTTTACATCCAATTCCCATTGAAAACAAAAACATTTCTTTTGACTGTGAGATTCAATTAATATTGTGAAAACGTACTTTTCAACCAATCTCGACTTAAATGTAAACATGACTTTTTTCCTTTTTTTAATTTGAAACAAGAGAGAAAGATTTGAACCCATTCATCGAGCGTCAGGGTAGAGAAAAATGTTTCGATGCTAATTTCTTTAAAAAATATTAAAATTTTAAAATTTCAATATAATAATTATTAAAAATTAAATTTTTTTTGTTAACAATTCAATATTTCAAATCGAATTTAAACTTAAAAATTTTTACTTAAAATTAAACTCAATTCAAGTAAAGCCCAATCCGCTCGGGCATGACAGGATATGCTCAAGTTTACTTACATCTTAGCGAAAAACTAGAAATGATTATTACATGATCTCATGAAAAAACCCTAGTCCGTGCAAGTTGTCATTACAAGACAAATAAGCCCCATTTTTCTCTTTTAAGTAAATGGCGTAATTGAACGTTTGCTAGCAATGGAGGTCACTCTCTAGTGAATTATTTTAGCAGATATCTTTAGAAATTTTCTTTTAGCAAGTTTCCAAAATTATGTTCAAGTTATTTTTGGACTTCGAAATCAAAGCATTTGTAACCCTTTTCATATTATTAGGCTGTGGAGTTTTTCTGCCAAAAAAATTATAATACTAATATATATTTTATATACAATTTAATTATTTTAAACATAATTATGCCATGACAATACCATGATCAAATTATATATTAAAACAGCTTATCTATTTTTTTTTAAATAAAAAGGATTGAGAGAAAAATATTTTAATTAACTTGAAAATGAATCCTTTTTTTAGTAAAGTACAACTGTCATCAAATAATTTTTTTTGTGGATAAACCCTAACTTATAATTTTGATTAATTTTCAAGTAAAATGTAACTGTCACCAAATTATATATATATATATATATGTGGGATCTGAGAATTTTGATTAATATGTTATAATAACTCAATTTAAAACAAAAAGTCAATAAGTCATATCAAATAAAATTAATTGTTGCGAGTTAGAAAACACGCAAAACAATAAAAATTTTAGGGTGTCGATCGACAATTGATAGCCTACAAGATGATTAATTAATCAAATTATTGTTTAATTAAGTCAAAATTTAATTTTTTAAAAAATTTAAAATTTAGCTTAACTAATTTATAAAAAATCTAATAAATTTAAAATTTAAATCTTAATTCTTAAAATTTCGTTTTCTATCAAATAATACGTGATTTTTTTTTTTTTAAATTCTTCCACAACGACCATTTCAAGTCAATTATTAGGATTGACAATTAATACAATGGTTAAATTATTTGCCTAGTTTTTGATATAGTAAAAAAGAAGATCTAGAATAGCAGAAAACGGGAACTTACACTTTAAGATTATATTTGGTATCTAAAATTATGATAGAAAAAAAATGATATTATCATGAATAAATTGAAATATTTTGTATTTGATGTGTTTAAGGATTAAGATATGATAGTTTATTTATTAATTAAAATTATATTTTAATAAAATTTATACAATTTAAATTATTAATATAATTTTAAAAAATACAATAAAATATATAAATTTAATATCATAAATTAAAAATAATTATTTTTATTTTAAGAGAATTAAATTATCTTATATAAAAAAATAATTAATACTTTTTACAATCGTATATTTTTTTTATATACAAATTAAAAATAATATAAAATAATAATTATTTTATCTTATTTATCCGCACGATCTAAATCCAACGGTCAACTTTCTAGAGAGGCATTAATTAGCGGGGTTGCCCTACGTAGGAATCTTGGATTTATTATTCATCGTCATTGACCCTTTACTAGAAACTCACCAACCAAAATTTTGGCGCATTGATACCCTTGATTACCTCTCCTTTCTCTGGTTGGGGATCAGAATTTGGAGTCATCTTTCTTCTTCAAAAGTTTGTTTTCATCTAGAAAGCAAATGGTAGATATTTATGGTTATGCCTAATAAAAAACTAATATTTAAACATTTCAACGGTTAAAGTTTGAGATTTTAAATCAGAGGAATTGAATTCGGATTTAAAATAGGACGGATGAATCTATGAAGTGGGGAAAACTTTAGATCTAAAATCATATATGTATATATTAATAAAAAAAGATCAATACATATGATAGATAATGAAAAAGATGAATGAACAATGATGTTGAAGTTGCTTATAGCTAGATAAATAATTGTTGGTGTCGAGTTTTGAATCGAGAGTAAAAATTTTGAAATCATATAAGAGAAAGAAATCGAAGAAAAGTAAAGGTAAGAAATCTTTCTTGCATTTACATTTCAACATAAGTTGGAATAAAGAAAGTTGGAAGGAAAGAAAAATGAAAAAATATAAAGAATAATCAGATGGATAGATAATACTTGAATGTTTGAATGATTATATTTATAGACAGAAGGTAAAGATTTTGTGAATAAAATAATAATATAATTGAATTAATTTGATATTATGTATATCCGATCTACCTAACATGTTAGGTTGATCTAAAAATTAAAAATACCTTTGGTTATATTTATTATGATATAGCTTAATGTAAAAGATCGACAAACAATCATGTTAAATGTTATTTTCATTATTATCTTTTGTTATGGTTTTAAATTTTATTTATTTGATTGATTTTTTTTTTTATAGATAACAAATAACTAAGACTTTTGCAAATCGCCTCTCCCACTCCTTAAATTTTACGATAAATTCAATTTCAAACACAGATTTTATAAAAAAGTTTAGGTGAGGAAAGGTATATCGATCATCCTTGGATCAAGGTATAATGCAAAATTCAACGAAAACTCACATTAAATTTATATATTACCCATAAAAAAAATATTGATAAAAAAATCAAATTTAAACGTTACAAACAAAATATCCATTTCTTATCAGCTTAACAAACTCCTATTAACTAACCATTAGCAACTATTTCCAACCACCCTAACGAGGCGTACAGCTATACAATATTAATTAATAGTAAATACATTTTTCTTTGATGAAATTAAAGTTTTATTATGTTTATTTTGTCTATTTTAAAATGTATATAATTTTTTTTATCATAACAATTATCACAACCTTCATTTTTTTTATGTTAATCTCTGTTTGACCGGTCTAAATTAAAGGATTGAGAATATTCCATCCTATCGCACACAGTGGGTCCATCATTTAATCAATATGATATATAGTACAAATTAAGGGTTAATTGACTTTAAAAAAAAGGATCAATTGTGTCGACACCCTTGGTTAGTTGCATTATAGCCCTCCAAACTTTATTTGAAGTAACCTAATATTTATAAGATGAAATAGGATTAATCTATGTTGTTATTTAATAAGATATAATTTGATACGTATTGGAAAAAAAAAAAAAAACAAAAGCTTTTTGTTTAAATTCCAATAGATTACGCAGGCAATGGGCAAAAGTATAATCAACCAATTAGTATATAATTGAAGCATCTTAGCCTCTATTATAATTTTTAATCACAATCATATATATATTTTAATGTGAAAGTTTGAATTCAAATTTTGTGACGAACATAGTGAGGTTTATCGGATGAATGTGACATTTATAAAAAATTTTGAGTCCGATGCTCAAATTGTATGTCTAATTAATTAAGCACTACTTAACTAGATATGATCGGTAGAATAAATCAAACACGTGCGAGATTTTGTCAACAAAACAAATCAGTGTATAATATTCCACGTTGAGCTCACTTCTAGATGATTGTAACACTGAAAATTTAGTTGATGCATGCATCATATCTTACCCATTGATTTGAATACCATAATAATATCTAAAGTTGAATATATAGTGATCTCTAAGAAAATTATTTCTATACATGTTGGATTCTTCATAGTGTTCTTTATTGATTTGAAATTTTAAAAGTAGAAACCTTGGAAAATAGATAGGTGTTGACTAGAAAGGAGCAACATTTTTGTCTTCTTTAATTTGTGAACCCAAAAGAAGGATACAGAAGAAAAGTAAAATCCAGAAGAATTAATATGGTATTTTTTTACATTTAAGATTAACTTTCATAATTAAAATTAAATTTAAGAAGATAACATTTTTATCAATATATAAGATCATATGACTGTGGATAAATTGGCGTTGATTTTAAGAAAGCAGTTGGTAAGCTGTGTTGAAGATTAAGCACAGGAATTAATTTCGTTGGCGTGAACCCTGAAATATAAAGTGAGACGAAGTATTTGTTAGGCATTAGGTAAATTTGTAATTAAAAAAAATAGATAGATAGGTTGTTGAGTCTCCAAATTTAAATGGATAGATAGATTCAACGAGAGGCAATTAATAAGAGACATCGGGTTCAAGATATATTTATGAAATTAATTATATTTTTTTATTCATTTAACATGTTCTTTAATAATTTTAATTCTAATTCTGTTTTTAAAATAAAGTAAGAAAATAAAGAGTTTTAGTCAATGATTATATGATAATATATGTTATTTTGTAATTTAACCATTGATTAAAATCTTTTATTTCATTTTTTTCGATCTTTTTCATTCTTACTACGGGATAGGGTAAATTTTTTAATTAAAGTTTCAATGTAATCTCCTTTTCATCTATGGATTTTTTAAATATAGGCATGTATATTATATTTAATTTTAAATCCAAAAATTGGAGGGCATGTGATACAATTTAGCGAGTATTTTGGATATTTAATAAATGAGTTCGTTTTTATACTTAATGATGTAATTTTTTTAATTTTATAAATGAAATTAAAAAGTTATTACATGTTTTATTTTTTAATTACTTTTTACTTTTTATTAATATTTTAATGGATACATATTACTCTATTAATCTTGATAATAAAATTTAAAACTCCTTTATAAGATGATAGTTGT